AGATGTGGATGATAGGCATTTAATATGCCTGGCATTTAGAGAATTGTTTGGGTAAAATCACAATGATTTTTTTTAAAAAAGCTTTTAAAAAGGGAAAGATGATTTTTATCCTTTTCTATTTAACCTGCCATTGATGTTTTAAGGTGCTCAGAGAATTCTCTTTGTGGGAATTTGGGAAGGACAAATGTTGATGTGTACACTAGAGAATTAAGACAAATGATAATTGAAAGAGATGATAAAAGCTAGTGGTTTCCATGGGGAAATAATCACAAACTGCTGTCAGACTGATTCCAATAAGAACATTGCTTTATGTGAAATGTTTTTTAAACAGCTCAACCAAAGCATTAAGCCAGAGCACTTCTGAGGGCATCTATTTGCAGTGCTTCTATTATATCCCCATCTGAGACTCCTCAACTTAACATTATTCACTGTTTCAGCTGCTGTGCTTAGCTTCTTTGTGGTCAACATTCAGTTGGAAATGAAAAATATTAGGTTGCAAGAAGAATACTATTCGCGGACCCTTAAGATAATTCTATAGTTTCACCATATTGATTTACCATATGGATTTGAAATTATTGATCTGTGAAGTTACTTTTGTGTGTTAGCCCAGGTTAAATGCTACTGCTGTGTTTAGGGTGTCTCTTTAATGCAGGAAAAACCGTTGATGTGCTTTTGGGCTTCTAGCAGTGGAGACTGCTTCCCACGCTCTGCCTTTGTATTTTCAGGCATTTATTCTAGAGTAATACTCAGGCACTGCACCTTTCTGTGCCCCCAGTGTACCCTGTTGAGATTTCTGTCAGAGCCCCTATAACCTTTATTGCATTCATTGGTTTACACAGCTGTGGCCTATATTAAATTGTAACACAGAGCCTGGCATGTGGCACAAATGCCCACTGAATGAATGAATGACTCCTTGGTCAAGTCTCACTGCCTCTTTCCAAAGAATGCTGAAACAAGAAGCCTTCCATTTGCTCCTGCTGGCCCAACCTCCACCCTGCTCCACCCCTGGGAGGCTGACCTGCAGGCACCAAGCACAGCCTCACTTTGAGTTTGACCAACAGGAGGCAGGAGATTGTTGGGTGGGGCAGACAGTTAGCATGGAATATCTAATAGGATTGTCTGTATTCCTCTATTACAGACTTCTCCATGTAGCTCTCTTTAGGCTTGTAAGGGCTCTCTGGTGTTATCAAACACAGATATTACATTATTTATTCCTTACTGGCTTCCTTAAGCCTGCCCACAGCTTTGTAAATAGTCTTTTTGTTAAATTCTCTCAAATTAGCTAGTTTGAATGAGCCCACTGGATCCTACTGGGACCCTGACTGACTGCCCAAGTCACCCAGCTGACAACGTTGGTTATAATTTAGACATTATAGGGGTGAACGGTGTAATACCTTTCCTCACTCATTGTACACACATGGCCAACACTCCTTTAACAAAAGACAGGTTAATGAGAGAAAAGCACAACAAATGTATTTAATCAAAGTTTTACATGACATGGGAGCCTTCAGAAATGACTCAACGATGCAGAGAAAATGATCTCTTTTAATGCTTAGTTTCCGTGAAGATGTACAGCTACATGGAAGTGTGATTGGACAAAAGGGTCTGATCTATAGTAGTAGACTGAGGGGGAAACCCCAGCAAGGACTGTCTGTTCAGCTTCTTCTTGGTCTCTATGTAGCATTTCTTCATCCTGGGTATGGGGCAAGATCCCTCTGGAACAGAGGTATTGGGGGAGAAGGGAGAGAGTGACCTTTAAAGATGTTATGACTTGCTTTGGGGAAGAGTGTCTCCAGTTTCTCTCACCTGCTTTGCAGAAGAGGAATTCTGGTTTCTAGAACTCACTTTGGGGAAGAAAGAGGAGTGAGGGGCAGGAAGGAGAGAAGATCAGAGATAACTTTCCTTTGAGGCCCATCCAATGCCCTTTTGAGACAGCCAAGTATAAAGCAGACGTGGGAGAAACTGAACGGCCTGCTCACTGGAAGGAGTGCACGCTGGGGCGGAGCCTCGGGAAGTCGGCAACGTTTGCAGCGGGGAGGAGCCTGGCCTCTCCTGTTCTGGGGTGGAATCTGGGATTCAATCTGTGAGGCAGGAAGCTAGCTAGCAGAACTTTTGCTTTGCTGAGAGTCTCTGTTTCCCTTTTTTTCCTTTTTGCTCAAAAAACTCCATTTTTCTCACCCTTCAAAGTGTCTGTGAATCCAATCTCTCATGGTCATATGACAAGGAGTCCATTTTATCTGCACTAAAGAGAAAGTCCTACAACACTTTAAAGTACATAACATGCCAAAGCACTAGACTTTGGGGAATCATGTTCTGAGCCCCAACAACATCATAGTCTGTCTCCCTTGCATTATTTCAGTAACCTCCCTTTTCTAGGCCAGCCTACCTCTGAATTAGAATCAGCTGGAGCAGGAGTCAGCAAATTACAGCTTGCAGGCCCAGTTCAGCCTGCTGCCTGTTTGTGTAAATGAAGCTTTATTGGAAGAGAGCCATGACTTTTTGTTTACTTACTGTCTATGGCTGCTCTTGAGCTACAACAGGAGGCAAGGAGTTGCAACAGAAACTGTGTGGCCTGCAGAGTCTAAAACATTGGTTATTTGACTCATTATAGAAACGGTTTGCTAACTCCTGATTTTGAGGAAAACCGTAACATGTGAACTTCATCATTTTCATCCAGGGCCTCCTGGGCCAGATGCTGGAGGCCCTTGAGAGTGGTCCATGACAGTGAAGTGGGAGGTTTTAAACCCCGGGCCTCGCTGAGTGTTCTTGGGACATCATGTTGCTGTGTTGGCTGCTGCAGAAACCTGGGACGCACTCACTGTCCCAGTGTGACCAAGCAGGGCTGGAGGCATTTGTGTGAATGTGTTGTAATATATGATTCCAGAATCGAATAATTTCCTAAAGAGAACAACTCTCCTGAATATTTTAGTGTTTTCCTGTCAAAGTTATTTTGTACATATCTGTCTCCCCCACCTGACCATGAGTGCCTCTTGGGAGAGCCTGGGCTTTAGTCATATCTGTACTCACCAGGGCCTGGTACAGAGTGGCTAAGGCTCAATAAATAGTTTGCCCAAATAGTAATCAACATTGAATTCAAGGAAGGAAAAAAGAAAAGGTGGTGGGGTGGGAGGCATTACCTGGGAAGGCGGTATGACTTCATGTTCTCCTGCTCTTTTACTTGAGTCTCGGCCTGCTCAGCCTGCACAGAACAAGAAGAGCTATAAGAAAAGGCTGTTCTTCCAGGAGGTACCCCTCAGGAAAGACTGGCTACATGATTTGTGGGCCCGGTATAAAATGAAATGCAGGGCCTCTTGTTCAAAAATGATCAAGAATTTTGACTAACTCTAGGCGTACTGCCTATGAGTTCACAAGGAGCAGTAATTAAAAAATAATAAAATTACTAAGAATTTCGAGAGAGCATCAGCAGAGCATTAAACTGAGCATGGCCTCCTAAGACTGCACAGGTTGCTGGCCCTGCTCTATGGGTTCCCGAAAAAAGGCAGCCTGTGGAAACCAGGGAAGGCTCCTTCAATCTAGAGGGACTGCATGGTGCTCAGCCCCTGCAAGGGCAGTACAGGCTGTGGGGATGTAAGACTGGGGGCTCTACAGGATTTCTGCAACGGTGTGTGTCTAATGATGCCTACACCGAATAACACTTCATCACTTTCAAAGCACTTGCATTGATCTCAGACCCTCACGTGAGAGTGGATTCCTCTTCCCCAAACCCAGATAGCTGGTCTGGCCTCACACAGACTAACCCTGTTCTCCACTACTTCCTTGTTTTCCATGTAACCCCGAGTCACCTGGGCCACCCCATCTAAGGGCAACAAACCACATGTGTACTAAAGTGTCTCATGGCTGGCCTGTCTAGATGTTTCCGTCTTTGGGTTCAGATAGTTCCCACCACAGTACCTGACTGGAAAACACTGTGTAACTGTGAATGATCCCTTTATCTTCCCCCAGAACCCTGCCCTGACCACTTCTTCACCATAAAAAGGGGCTTAGGGGCCCATTCTCACCACACTGCAGGAATGCTATGCTATGACACCCAAAGCCTTTCCTGGCGCTAGACATTGACCCCACCAGCTACCAGAGCTCTCCCTTCCCCACCCTGCGAAAGCCCTCCCCGCCCCAGGAATTGCAGCAAACCTCATGGAGGTCTCCCAGTGGTGACAACTATAGGTAGGGAGTTCTGAGCTCTAATAAGGATCTCCTGACTAGTGCCCCCTTCTCACTGAAAGAGCTCCCATTTTTGCTTCCTTCAGACCACTGCGTTCCCCAACCCTTCATCCACTGATCCTTTCTGCAAAAGGGGGCTGAGCGGGTCATCCTTAACCACTCTGCTTATGAGAGCACCCATAACCTCTGCTAACAGGTGGTGGTTAGCAGTGTTTCTAACACTTTCATCCCAAAGTGCTAGAAAGCCACCCTCCCCAGCCCTGGTGATGACAGCTCCCGGGTCCTCACTTTGCATATGCAGGGTTCCAGCAGCCAAGGGATATGGCCCCATCTCCTTGCACTGAGGAAGATAAGCAAATGCCCAGAGCATTTCTTTCCCACAAAGAGGAGACCCCAGCATTATGGTGCTTTGCTTAGGGAGGACATATTCCTGAAGCTCTAAGTTTTGGGAAACTGTCGTTGATAGGGAGTTTTTTTTCCCAGTGGAGCACGGCCTCATATAAAATAAGCTGTAGTTAAGGGAGAGCCCAATGGGGTCAAGTGGAGTTTCCCTTTGATCATAAATGCATAGTCAGACTGTCCCTGGGCCTTTGTACTCTCCTGCTTAACCTGGAAGCTGGGTTGCCTCAGGCCTCATTCGTCTCCCTGTGACTGATGTGGCCTTAATGACAGCAGCTCCCAAAGAGCCCCCTGCTGCCTGTGTGCACATGTGTGTGTTTTGCTGACACCTAAGGCAGCCTCACGCCCTCTCTGATACCGTGTCCTCCTCCTGCTCAGCTCCTCCTTCCTTACACACAACCTGTGTTTTCTGTTTCTTGCAGGGTCCTCGGTGGCATATAGATCTCCAGCCTTGGGCAGGCCCTGCTCAGTCCCTGGATGAAGAAGCCTGGAGGTTCCTGAGATATATCAGCACCACCCAGGTTGTGTTTCAGGCTCAAACCAGTTAGAGAAGAATGCAAAAGATCCTGATTGCCCCTTTGGAAAGAAGGAGGTGGGGTGGTTCTCAGTGACTCCTGATAAGGACTTGACCGGGACGGGTGTTCAGAGGCCTTGTTGCTTATACTCATCCACTCACTTGGAGGCAGATACGATGCTTTCCATTTGCCAGGGCATGTTCCTACTTCCAAGAGTGTTGCCAACCTGAAATGTTTAAATGATTCATCCCAAAGTGTTTTAAAGATCCACTTTAGAAAATTGCTTTGGAAAACCATTTGAAATGACAGATTGGTCCCCATGAGTAGGCAGTCGAGTATGTCACAAAATAAAACCATCATCTAGAGGTTCAAGCACCATTTTGTATTTGGAGGAACTTGCCTTTCCACTCTTCTGCCACAGATGCTTGGCAGCTAGGGACGTGCTAGGCAGGAGAACAGAGGAGGCTTTGCAGGCAGTGTGCTGAGTAGTTAGTGAATCCAAAGGCTCTCTATCCTCAGAGCACTTTAAATTGTTACTGAGCACAGGCCTTTATTAGTGACTTAACACATTGTGGCAGCTCCTGCCCACCTCAAGGCTGAACCAGTGCCTGGAGCAGGCAGAGACTGTCCATTAAGGAGAGTCTATGGCTTTTGACATGTTAATCAGGAGGTTCCATTCTCAAGTTGCCTGATCCCAGGGGGAAAGAGAGACAGAAAAGGAAAACAAGGCCCAAGGGAAATTTAGCCCTGAACTGAGAGATGCTAGCAAATTAGGAGCTCAGACTGCCTGTGAGCTGCACATGGGCTGGCTCAGGAAGCTGCACAGTGGAGCTGGTGCTGTACGGGGGGATCCTGGATTTTAAAAATCTCCCTCAAGCCCACTCTTGGCATCCCTCTTCTCCTCCCCAGCCTCGCTGGCAGCAGAGCCCACTTTTCCTCTGTGGGAGAGAATATATTTCTAGATCTTTAGGAGGTTAGTTAGTTTAGGGGCAAAAGAAAGTCCCATTTCTCATATTATGCAGTCAGACAATCATAGGGATTTAATATTTGTCACTCAAACATGGACGTAAAAGCTTGTTGAATTAATCATGAGTGATGGGATGATGAATTAGTCCCTGTGCTTCTCATGATTTTATCTTATTTTGCTGCTGCAAATTAATCTGATGGACTTAGGCAGACTTAATTAAAATGCTGAAATTTTAATTTTGTAGTTCAATTTTACATAAAGGATAAGAATCTGGACCTCTTAACTGTGATCTTCAAAAGCCCTTAAAGGCTCCAGAAGAAAATAAGAGGTGTTAATTTTATGAATCGTATTTGAGAACTATGGGCTTCACCCACCAAAATAAATTTACGTAGTGCAAGCCACCAAATTCCATTTCTATTTGTATTTCATATTAATGTTCCATAACTTATAAAAGGCATGTTTGCTTAGAAGTTATTGAGGCATGAAATGGTCATTTTTAGATCCCTCTTGGATCTTCCCCAGAAATTATGGACTGAGAGGATAAAAATTCTGATTTTTATTTTTTGAGACAGAGTCTCCCTGTCACCCAGGCTGGAGTTCAGTGGCACAATCTCAGCTCACTGCGACCTTTGCCTCCCGGGTTCAAGCGGTTCTCCTGTCTCAGCCTCCCAAGTAGCTGGGATTACAGGAACCCGCCACCATGCCCCGCTAATTTTTGTACTTAGACAGGTTTTGCCATGTTGGCCAGCTGGTTCTGAATTCCTGATCTCAGGTGATCCACCTGCCTTGGCCTCCCAAAGTGCTGGGATTACAGGTGTGAGCCACTGCGCCCGGCTGAAAAAAAAATTTTTTTAAAGCATCCTCTGTAGTCCAATCTTGTAAACCTGGGTGCTTTACTTTGCTTCTCCGGCTCTCCTTGTTCTGATCCTAAAATGGAAGAGATTATATCAAAATTATTTCTACGATCCCTCCCAGTTCTGTGAGCTTGTAGTGTGCATAGAGTAGCATAGAATGGTTATTAACCAAGTATTTTTGAGTGCCTACAAGGTGCCAGGAACTGTTCTGAGGATACAGTCTCTGCCTTTAAGGATCTAACCAACTGGTTGTCAAGGTAGATAACTGGATGTATAATTATTATTCAGCTTGAGGAGCACTAAAAGAGAATTTGTTGTTGAAGCTCACTAGAAGGATTTTTTGTCCTCTAAAAAGAATGATGTAAAGTTCTGGACCTCACAGTGGTTTTTAATGGGGGGCCATTTTAGCTAGGTAAGGTTCTGTGCTTTGATGTACTTCTGGGTTACTGGAAGGCCAGCAGGTGGGAGTCACCAGAGATGACACTAAATGGTTCTTAATCAGAATCCTTTACTAACCAATGCTCCCTCCCCTTCTGTATGTAATGCAAAGCTTTATGGTTGCTTTTGTGGCTTATGCCTCGTTTAGAACTCATCTTGACAACGAAAGCCTGCAAAACTGGCAGAATATTAGAGTCGCTCGTACCTAAAACTTCCAGTTAGCAGAAGTGAGTCATAATGGGCAAGGAAAAAAATAAAAGCTCTGAAGGTACTAATGCGAATTCCACCCCCATCCTCTTATGCTGCTTTTTAACATTAAGAAATATACTTCCTCCAAATCTGTGCTGAAGCTTGTACAGCAAGGCCAGCGTCTGATATGTGCATCGTTGACACGCATTTCTTAATTCAGGAGGAATTTGTTGAACACCTGCTTTGTGGCTGGCGTTGTGCTGGGCCTTGGGATATTACGCCTCAATAAAACACCCCTCCATACTGGTAAATAGCTAGGGTGCAAGAGAGTTGGGTGTTCTCTAACGGGGGCAGACAGATGACTGGGGAAAGTTTCCTAGGCTAGGGGATCTTGGGAGCAGAGGCTTAGTGTATAGGACAGCATGGCATGAGATAGCAATGGGCGTGGCACCCCTTGACTTGTGCATTGTGGTCCTGGAGGCATGGTTAGGGCCATGCATTTTTAAATGAAAGTCCAGAGGATATGGTGTTTGGGTAGAGTATGCAGAACATCAAGCTCAGTTTAATTATTTGTTATTATTATTATTTTAATGTGAAAGACCATGATACATGGCAGAGTTCTGCAGTCCATGGTACACTATCTGCTGCTAACAAATAGTTAAATCATAAATACAGTGCTCTGTTCTAAGGGAAGTCTCCAGATTCAGCTTTTTATGGCAACCCCCAAACCATATGCCTCCAGGAAGCATGCCTTGCAGTACAAAATTAATCTAAGCAACGGTGGCTGTTTTAAAAAAGAAAAAAGAAAATATGTTTTAAAGCCTGTTTATCTATCTATCTATCTATCTATCTATCTATCTATCTATCTATCTATCTATCTATCTGTCTATGTTTCTATCCATCTATCCATCCTTACCTGTATCTCTATCTAGTTATCTACCCATCTGTCAATTTGTAAGAATAACCTAAGAATGAAAACCCATGCTCTGGATATTTGGACTATAACTTTACAACAATAGTGTCTGTTGTATTTACTGCTACACACATACACACACCAGGATAAAAACAATAAACATACAATTCTGCCCTTGAGCCTTTCAAAAATAATGGTACTGTATAAATATACAGCGTAGAGTTGATTATTCTGTAAACATGCAGAAGATCATTGAAGTGATTCTTAAGTTCCAAAATTTTAAGGGCTCCCATTGCCAGATTCTACTTTTGGGTTGGCAGAAATGCCATTCAAGCTTTTGGGATCCAAAATGAAGTGAAAATAAATTAGATCCCTTTAAGTTAAATAACTGAAAAACATTTCAGAAAATCTTTTCCTGGAGTCCGTTTTCCTTTGTCTAGGCCTAATTTGCTTTATTTGGCTAAAATTACAAGGAGAATTAGAGAGACAGAGAACATAATTAGCTGAGTTGGAACTTAGCTAGAAGTTTCTGCCCTCGCTTATTTTGCTTATAAGAGAGTTTACTGAAGCCCTGGCCATAAGTCTTAACTAGAAAGTTTGAAAAATCAATACTTAATTATTAGGAGCAGAAGTTTACAAAGGACTTTCAGTTGTTTACAAAAGCTAATGTTTATCAGTGAGATGGTTAACAAATGGTTAAAATCAAATCATTCTTGTGTTTTTTTTCTGAGCTAAGGAAGGAAGAGGGTATGTTATCAGAGGGAGTGAATGAAATAGAATGTCTCTTCAATAGGGATATATCTGTCCAAGATGAAATCTGTAGAGTAAGAAGAAACGCTTAAAGTAGCCAAAGTGTCATCTTTAATAAAGTAAAACCCTAGTTCCTGACTTTAGCAAAGGAGTTGCAGCTGGATCTGAAAGTCCTGACTCCCCATCTTCAATCCTACCTGACTCTCAGAGACCTCTGGCTAATTGTCAGTGCCAACCCCTTCAGCCCATTGTTAGCGGTGGGGGTCAGTTTAAACTGCTGTTTTCAGTTTAAAGCTCTGGCCCAAGTGTAGCCTCTTTTAATTTGCTAAGGCAGAGATGTGACTAGGCTGGAAAATTTCACTGGGGCTTTGCAAAAGACCTCCAGTAAACTCAAAAGGCCATCTGCATAAAAATCACCCAGGGGAGCTTATTAAAATGCATGTTCTCAGGTATCCGCCTGAGAGATTCTGAGTTTGTAGATCTGGAAGGAGGCCCAGGAATCTGCATTTTTAGTACCTCCCAGGTGATTCTGACGTAGGTGGACCACGCCTTGAGAAATGCTGTGGGAAAGGCTAGAGCTAGGTTTTGATGGCATTAGGAAGGAATGATGAGCAAGGACCTGCAGCACATCATCTCTTGATCTGTCATTATGGAGGTCTTCAGGGACATGTACACAAAGAGCAATGGCAAATGGGAATCATCATACCACTTTAATAAAAATATCCCAGGAGGCTTCCCCAAAGCAGATGGCTCAGGCTTATAAGGTCCAGGCATGCTTTTGGGGCACACACAACTGCCCTGGACTAACTAGCTTCCCACTCGAGGTGGGGCTCAGGAAGGTGCCCATGTTTAAGGCACAGTAATCTGCCCACTAGCAGAACAGGGTCCAATGAACACATTGAGCTGTGACTAACTAGATTAGCAACTTCTCTTCCCTTAGGCGAGTGGGTGGGGAATAGGAGGTGGGCAGGCAGAGACATAATTTCCATTTATCTGTGGGAGAATAGTAGGAGATGAATTATCAAATTAACATGTTGATGCACCCAGTTAATAAATGTATTCTGTTGCTGTTGCTTGAGAAAAGATTCAATTCCATTTTCTTTGATTATTTTTTCCATTAAACAGTGGTTGAAGATAGAGAAGTAGAAAAATACTGGATTCAAGGAAAAGATACATAGGGGTTTCACTTTTTCAGCTTTCCTCTGAAAAAAAAAAAAAGGAAATATCCTAGCAGAAGACTCACATTCACTGATAAATAGTGCAGGATGGTATTGCCAGGCCAGCTGTAGGTGATACAAGAGTAATGCCGACGCTGTGTTAGTCAAATAGACGCTACCTAATATGATCTTCTTAGATTAAAATTTTGGAAAATCAGTTAAAGGATTTGACAAACTTAGAATATCTTCTTTTCTTTTTAAGTTTTTATTTATTTATTTATTTTTGGAGACAGGTTCTGGTCTTGCTCTGCTGCCCAGGCTGGAGTGCAGAGTCACAATCATGATTCACCGCAGCCTCAACCTCCCGAGCTCAATCAGTCAACACCCCTGAGTAGCTGGGACTATAGGCACATGCTACCATGCTTGGCTAGTGTTTGTATTTTTTGTAAAGATGAAGCTTTGCCGTGTTGCTCAGACTGGTCTCAAGCTCCTGGGCTCAAGCAATCCCCCTGCCTCGGCCTTCCAAAGTGTGGGGATTATAGGCATGAGCCACCATGCCTGGCTCTAGAATATCTTCTTAAGAAGAAAATTGCTTGCTGTTAATGTTTTCCAATGGATGAAAGCAATGATTCTCAGAACATTCTTTGCATCTGGAACGATGCAATAATTCTCAAAACATTCTTTGCATCTGTGGTCTATGCTGTGACAGCAAAAGCTGCTGCATTCATGGAGCATCATGATGACTGAGAGTTTTAAGGGATTGCGGGAAAATACTGTTGCTCAGTAAGGTAAATATCTTGGCCACAGAACTTATTTTCCTTATTTTCTTTGGTTTCAAGAGTCTGCCTCAGCTGTGCAAAATGTTACCAGCCTGAAACACAAGTCAGAATCCCTTATGAAGTATATTTGCTTTGTGTGCAGTTGAAATTAGAGACTTGCTTCTGTTTGACTTATACACACATTCCCTTTGGTTTTCTTATCTAATTTTGATGGATGAGTTAAGAAAAGTGCTTCTGTTAGCTCAGGAAGAGCCTCCTGCCTGGGGCTCTTGCCCTTCTTCCCCAGGAGGAAGTACATTAGAGCAGTGTATCACAAAGAACACTGCCTTATCAGCAGGGACTGCCAATTAATTTTACTTGACCCGTGATCAGCGGTTTACCCTGGATGACACCTGCCACCTTTCGGGACCTTAGCAGCCCCACCTTATCTGCCTGAAATAAGGGATAGCTAATCTTGGGAGTATGCTTCTGAGATCTATGCCTCTGATTGTGCCCCACATGTTATAGCAGGGACTCTGGGTAACAAAGACCTCTATGTATGGTGAGCACACTGTTCTCTGTGTCTGGATGCATGGTGAGCACAGTTCTCTGTATCTGGAATGCCCTTCTTGGTCCGAGCCTCTCAGTTCATCCTCAGGACTAGTACCCCTCTACAAAGCCTTCCTGACACCCCACACCTCCCGGCTTTTGCTCCTGATTTGCTCTCTCCTGTACACCTGCACATGGCTACAGCAGCTCTTAACTTCCCTTCAAACCTGCATATAGTCTCCAGGAGATTACTTATTATTTGGTAATTGAAATTCCTCCAAACAACAACTTGTTGTTCCCTGGGGAGGAGAGTAGTTAGCAGTGGAGAAGGATATAACTTTCCTATTATGGTTTTCAGGGATGGGGAAGCAAAAATCCCTACTTGCTATTTATCATCCAACATTTCAAATTATTCACATTGATTTCCAATCTTTACAGATTGCATGCAATCACATGAATACAGACAGCCTGGCTACTGACTCTAGTCCTACACACAAGCCCTGGTCAGTGTGTCTTGACGACAGGTTCAATTTAGCTCATCAAATCCGCAACAAGCAGTGCCGCCTCTACTCCTTAGGGTGAGTACATTTTTTACAGCAGAAGAAAACACAAACACTCCTTTAGGCAGCTCAGGCCTTTTCAGCAACACAGAGTTAGAAATGGTTGCAGTGTATAACAGGCGCAATTCTTTGCCTCCTGTCATCATTTCAGGCTGATCTGTCTGTTGTGTAACTGGAGGCACGTACAGATCACTGAGGCCAGAGGCACTTTCCCTCTCATTCTGCTGGTAGCAAGTTGGCAGCCCCCGTTCTCAGCATGTGGATGATCCTTTTGGTGAAACCAGTAATATCCAGTTAGAATAAAAGCATCCTTAGTATTAAGAGAGAGAAGAATATTAGTGTGTGCAGCCAAAAAAAAAAAAAAAGAGTATGTTAGATTTTTTTTCTTTTCTTGAAGTGAGGGGATCTCACTCTGTTGCCCAGGCTGGAGTGCAGTGGCAGAATCACGGCTCACTGCAACCCTTGCCTCCCAGGATTAAATGATCCTCCCACCGCAGCCTCCTGAGTAGCTGGGACCACAGGCATGCACCACCACACCCGGCTAATTTTTTGTATTTCTGGTAGAGACAGGCTTTTGCCATGTTGCCCAGGTTGATCTTGAACACCTGAGCTCAAGCGAGCCACCTGCCTTGGCCTCCCAATATGCTGGGATTACAGGTGTGAGCCACTGCACCGGGCGGTATGTTAGAAATTTGATGCATAGTTATGATGTATAACCGAAAACAAATAATGGCCATTGTTAGATTTGTATGTTTTATACCGATGATAAATCTATATCTAGTTACATTTTTAACAAAAGGAATAAAAGGGAACTCTTATAAAAACCATGTCGTGTTGTCAAAACTGAGAAAAAATGGTATCCAGTTATTCAGGTTGAAAATGACCTAGATGTACAAATGGATTAAGAGAGCTTTTTTGTAAAAGGATGACTACAAAGTAATGGGACTATTTTGCCAAAATATACCAGTACTTACATAAAAACAGTTCTGAACTTACAAATTATATATGATTCAAAAAAAAAAGACAGGAGGAAATTATTTTTGTTTGGAACTCTTTGTAAGGGCAAATGTAGATCCTCAGGCTAGACCATTGGAGTCTTTTACAAACAGCGCTGGGGACTCTAATGTGACATTGATCATTTCCATGTCACATGCTTCCTCCTTACCTGTAGGTTTCATCAACTCTAGAGTCTATATTCAGGCCCAGGTACAACAACCACCAGCCAGAATCCTAGGTGGTCAGGGTTAGGGGTAGACATCTGGGTGATGTGGGATGTCAAGGTCAAAAGGATGATTATCACTGTCAAACTATAACAAACAAGAATTACCTGTCATTGTGGATTTTATTTACTTTTTAAAAATAAGTGTTTAAAGATAGGGTTCTCCTATGGGTTAAATGAAGAGCAATGGTGTATATTGGTGGAGCTTGGCACATACTAGGCACACGACACATATTTGCTGTGTAGACGATGGCTTGAGAGGAGAGTCCAGGGAGGAAAGCTAGTTATGTTGTGATTAAAGTATGGAGGGTGTGGATTAGAAGATGAGATGCACAGCTAATTGATTAAACAGAGCTCTCTTTCTGGAAGCCCACCAGCTATGCTTCAAGATTGGAGGGAGGATAGGAAGTTGTGACAGCAGAATTTATTTTATGTCACATTAAAAATGTCTGAAAGTGGGTCATTAAAAAATTGCATAGCACCACATGCAAGCTGGTCCTATTTTCTTGCTCCAAATTGCCTCTATGTTTTGCTGAATGTTTTATGCCCTGTGATAATTTCATTTAAAGGTTATAACTGAGTAAAATAAAAGTTAGGTCTTTTGGGGGAAAGTTTCTAAATTCCTTTTTGCTTTCCTTATACTTCAGAGCTGTTAGATAGTTCTGCAGGAAGAGTTCATATTATTACATGTGAAAAGGTAGTTTCCTATTTTAAAATATTTTTATTGATGCATGATATTTGTACACGTTTATGGGGTACGTGTGATATTTTGTTGCATGAGTAGTAATCAAGTCAGGGCACTTAGAGTATCCATCATCTAAAGCATTGATCATTTCTGTGTTGGGAGCATTTCTAGTCCTTTCTTCTAGTTATTCTGAAATATAAAATTTATGGTTGTTAACTAGTCACCCTACTCTACTTTTGAATATTAGAATTTATTCCTTCTGCAACAGAAAATAGGGTCTGGAAGCAGGGAATATAAGGCCAATTCACACTTCAGCTATGACAGGAAATATCCTCTTATTAGGGCATATACACCAAGTAAATGACTTCGTAAGTTTATTTCATCCTCTTCATTTGCATAGGGTGTACACCAGGTAACCAATGGAAACCTCTAGAGGGTATTTAAAAGCCCCAAAATTCTGTAACGGGGCCCTTGAGCTCCTGTGCTCAGACTGCTCCCACACTATGGAATGTACTTTCATTTTCAAATAATCTCTGTTTTTGTTGCTTCATTCTTTCCTTGCTTTGTCTGTGCATTTTGTCCAATTCTGTGTTAAAGGCACCAAGAACCTGGACACCCCTGCACCGATAACACTTTTATCTAACTACATGTTTGTACCCGTTAAACAACTTCTTTTCACTTCCCTCTAAAAACACCCTTCCCAGCCTCTGATAACCATCATTCTACTCTACCTCCAAGAGATCAACTTTTTAGTTCCAGCATATGAGTGAGAAGATCCAATGTTTGTCTTTTTGTGTCTGACTTGTTTCATTTCACATACTGACCTCCAGTTCCAAACATGCTACAAATGAAGGATTTTATTCTTTTTTATGGCCAAATAGTTTTCTGTTGTGTATATGCACCACATTTTCTTTATCCATTTATCACTAAAGGACACTTAGCTTGACTCCATATCTTTGTTATTGTGAATAATGCTGCAATAAAAATGGGGGCGCAGGCATCCCTTTGATATGCTGCTTTCCATTCCTTTGGATACATACTCAGAAGTGGGATTGCTGGATTGTATGGTAGTCCTATTTTTAGTGTTTTGAGAAATTTCCATACTGCTTTCCATAATGGCTATACTAATTTACATTCCCATAACCAGTGTGTAAAAGTTCCCTTTTCTCCAAATCCTTGCCAGTGTCTGTTATTTTTTGTTGTTTTAATAGTAGCCATTCTAACTGAGATAAGATAATATCTCATTTGGTTTTGATATACATATTCCTGATGATTACTGAGGCTGAGCAGTTTTTTATATATTTGTTCAGAAGAAATATAGACAAATGGGACTGTATTCAACCAAAAAGATTCTGCACAGGAAAGAAAGAGTCAACAGAGTGAAAAGACAATCTGTTGAATGGGAGAAAATCTTTGCAAACTGTTTATCCATCAAGTGACTAATATCCAGAGTATACAAGGAACTCAAACAACTCAATAGCAAAACAAACTATCAAATAATTTCATGAAAAAGTGGGCAAAGGACATGAGTAGACATCTCTCAAAAGAAGTTTCATATTTTCACTTAAATGTTTACCATTAAAAATCAACTTTGGGGCTGGATGCAGTGTCTCATGCCTGTAATCCCAGCACTTTTTGAAGCTGAGGCTGGCAGATCGCTTGAGGTCAAGAGTTTGAAACCAGCCTGGCCAACATGGTGAAAGCCCGTCTCTACTAAAAATACAAAAATTAGCTGGGAGTGCTGGTGCACCCCTCTGGTCCCAGCTACTTGGGAGGCTGAGGCTGGAGAATCACTTGAACCTGGGAGGCAGAGGTTGTAGTGAGCCAAGATTGCGCCACTGCACTCCAGGCTGGGTGACAGGGCAAGACTCCGTCTTTTGCCCTGTCAAAAAATAAAGAAAAGAAAGGAAAAGAAAATCAACTTTGTAAAGAGCATCTGAATTCCACTGGGAAAAGAAATGAATAGATTACGAGGGCCAATATTTGACTAAAAACATGAAAGCACTTAACTGAAAACTGAAACTAAAGAAAATATTTCTGATGCCTAAAAAAGATGCTTTGGGTTGTGGGTAATGACGTTGATTGCACTTACTAAGACTCCAGGACCCAGACAAATATGACCCTGTTCAGGTGAATTGCTTGCCTGGGGCACAAGTAGATAGCTGGCTGACAACACCTCAGTTGATACAGAGAGAAGAGAGAGACCCAGACCAGAATTGGTGGTCCTGAAATGAGGAGTGAGAACAGGGAAGGTGGCCCCAGGTTCCTAGCACCGGGGAGTGTCGGAACAGTTTTGAGATAGGCGAGGAAGGCAGGTGGTAAGTGAATCGTGTGGGCCTTGCATTCAGGCAGTACATGCTCCCAGTCGCAGGGCTGCAGCAGCAGCAACAGGAAAGTGCCACTGCTATACGCAGTAATTCTTAGGCAAACCGAAAACAATGGATGAGGCTGCAGCTGGGAGTAACTTCCTGGCAGGAGGGAAAGGAGGGCTCTAAGGACGCAGGAGTCAGAAGGCAGAGGCTGATGACCCCACTTTTTGATCTGTCTCAGCTCCTTTCCTCTACCCCCAAGAACTGAAGCAGGTGTCACCTCCATCTTCTCTCTGATGGCTGAAGTTTATTTACTGGGAGTCAAAGGTTTTTATTCCACAATTAATGGAAAAGGCATTTGTCTGTGAGAGTGCACTCTGTATCATGTTCAGTTGAAAATGAAAATCAGAGCCTTTTCAGTTTTGAAATGAGGTAGACTAGACCAATTAAGATAGGGGAAGGCACTGAAAAGGAAGGTGTATATTATCGAGAAAGGGATAGAGAAGAGGAAAAAGGAGAGGCTGTGGGTTCAGATGGTAATATTCAGACTTCAGACAGGGTGTGGCCTGCAAGTCTTCTCTTGTCTGGAGCAGGGAAGGGTGATGGTGGGGCAGTGGAGGGAGGGTGGGGTTGAGAGTGGTAGATAAAGCAAAGGGGGAAAGTCACCTTTTCTCCTGTTTATATCAAATATTGTATTTTGGGGTAGGAGTAGGCATGAAAGGAAAGATTTTAAAAGGGCAGATACATAGGTACATATTTTTTGTCTCTTTTTAAGTTCTGTAGTAGGTTGTGCCTTTTAGTTTCA